ACGCAGGATGGGCTTCCAGCCGAGAAGATTCTCACCGGCGAACGACGTGAGCGGTAGGCAGGAGGGGACTGGCAACAAAAAGCAGCCCGGACATTTGCTGTCAAGAGGCCCCGATTCAGTATTTTGCCACTGACCAAGGTGGTCCACCTGGTATCTTTTGCCGCTTGTGATATATAATGCCAGCGGTGGTGAAAACAGGCCAGCCCATCCTGATGGCCTGACAGTAGGGGTGGGGCAATCCGGTTCGAGGAGTTTCTTCTGTTTTTGTGTCTTGTCCTTTCTGACACTATACACCCAATTTCAGAGGACATCACTGCTGTCCTTGAGAAAAACCGGAATGAGGGTCTACACAACGTCACGACCTGTCTTGGTTAAGCCGGCCAACTTCACCAAAGGGCGTTGGGCCCCATGACGCGACCCGCAACTTTGACTAACGAGAAAGAGAGAGTAACCCTGTGAAATATGGCTTAAAGGCCCAGGCACTGCAAGTAAAAGGCAGCTGAACAGCCATCTCTTATGGGGGCTTGTTTGCCGAACAGTTCTGTAGATTCCATAAAGGGGATTTGAAAAGGATTTTTCAAAAGCTTTACAAAATTCACCGTAAACAGGAAGTAATAACTGGGACGCCTGCACTAACGCCGCACTTACGAGATGATCGACGTGGAAAACGCAAACATCGGAGGGGAGGAGAGGAAAGAAAAAGTGGCGGGGGCAGCTCTGTGTGCACGGCGGCTCGGCCCAGGAGGGGGGCTCTATCAGAGTGCATCTCGCACGGCTAACAGCGCACTCTCTCTTTTTTAGGAGTCGTTGTGGCGGCGCTGGTGAGGCCTGGCAGCTCAGACTCAGCTGCAGGTGCTTCCTGTGTTGTGCGGCGGGGAGGCTCCTTCGTTCACACGCTAGTGAGCGTGCTCAACGGCGCAGACCGCAGGCAGGGGCCCTGAACTGCGAGCCCGAAGCGGCATGGGCCAGACCCACTCAAACAGACCACACTGGCCTAGTGACTCCGAACATCCCCCAAAGGCCAGAGGTTCGAGCCATGAATGGTCTAATCGAGCATGTTAACCACAAAACAGCTCATGGGGGCTTTTGTTCACGTAATCCAACATGCTTCACTGTAAACCTGTTAAAAGAAGGTATACAGGCTTCTCACACAGGCCACTGGTCACAGTGGTTCTTATCTACTTTTATTCAATGGTGGTTCTACACCAACTGGAGGGCCAGCCTGGGGCCAACTGTTCTGTTAGGGGGGGCAGATGCATTTGACCTTTATGTCCTCCAAGTGTTACTTAAACTGGACTGTCAGCATTAAGAAGTAAAAGACACTTTTGAAAACCGATGTTATTTATGCGATGCTTTGGAGTCTTGCTTCCACAAGCTTGATTTATTTTTGTGACTGAATTTCACCAACTGAAAATGTGTTTCTTTGTGTTTTGCCTGATCCCAGTGCACCAAATTTTAGCCCACATGTATAAATGTAAATTATGATTATAGGCAGCATGTGGCTCAGTGGGGGAAGTGTGTGGCTCAGTGGGCTAAGCCTCTGTGTCTGTGATTGGAAGGTTGCTAGTTCAAGCCCAGCCTCAGCATGTCTGTGGGTCCTTGGCCAAGGCCCTTAACCCACAGCTCCCTCGGTGCTGCTACAGGTGGCTGCCCTTTGTGGACAACTTACTCCACAAAGAGCAAGTTGAGGGAGGTATGAAGGTAACTTCCCCACAGGGAGGAGTCCCTGAAGAAGACCCAGGACACACTAGAGACTATGTTTCCTGGCTAGCCTGAGGAGCTGGATGAAGTGGCTGTGGAGATGGAAGTCTGGTTTTCTCTGCTTAGACAGCAGCCCCTCTGACCAGAGAAGTGATGGATTAATAAGGCATGCCAGGCTTTCTGGGCCAGATACCACAGGAATGGCATTTTTAACTGAAAGTAGACAGTGTATTTTTGAGCTGAATTTCAGCATGTAAATGTTAATAGGCATGTCATTCTTCCTCTTGGGCACTTACCACCCAACCCAGGACTCACTCCTGATCTTATTTTTTATCCTCTGCATTAGCAACTCTTCCTTATCACGGGAGTTCATTTGACTGTATCCTAGGTGTCACCGGCCTCCTCATTTGCATGCGAGTGAAAGAGCCAAGGAATGCTGGGATTTCGCCAGTTAAACACGCACAACCTGACAACAGCACACCTACTTAGGTTTTTTTTTTGAGATCTCTTTCACAGAAATGACATAGACTGTTTTAGTCACTTCTCAAAAGGTCTCCATGCTTAAAGGGCAATTTAACCGCAAAGGTCTTTCGGCAGTTTATTGGTTTGAGCAGCGACCTCAAACTGCTTCACCTGCTGACTCATCAGTCTGCCTCATTGGCCCGGCGAGATTCACGCTTTACTCACAATCCCTGTGCGTGTGCCCTGTGCCAGAGTTGAGCTGTTAACATCAGTCCTGGGATGTGGTATTCAACTCAACTTGTGTGGCGGTAAGACTGCTCCAGAAACCATGAGTCATGTTTCTGTCTGGGACCTTCTCGGTTTAGCATCAGTACGAGAGCATAGAAACACAGTGACCAAGGTTCAAATTTCACGTTTCATGTGTTACATGAGTTTCCAAGGAACACACTCTGAAATTTTCGTGCCGCATCCGCAGGGGAAGGAACAGATGCATGAGAGAATAACAGGACATAAAGCACAATTATCACACCCGTAAGTGCGTCATGGCTGTAAGAACAGCTCATCCATAAGACGGGGTCGAGATTGAGACTGATGTAAACTGTCAGAGTGACGGAATACATAGAACAAGGACAAGTGGGTCTTACACCAAGCAATGATTCTGATTGTCCTCAGGAAGAAGGAGCACAAGAATGTGGCATCTATCAGTGTTCACGACTGCCGTTTTTCACGCTGGTAGTTCACGACTGTGTATGAGGCTAATGCTTCCGGTAAAATTATTATTATAACCCGATTTTCTCTCTGTAGTGAGAAGAATGACACCAACAGCATCTAAATTAGCATCTAGATTCCACCCAAACTGAAAATTTCAAAAGATGGGTGCAATGTGAGACTCAGGAGGTAGGGCGACTGTTCCCACGGTCGGAGGGTTGTTGATTCAAATCCCAGGATCTGCAGAGCAGTCTCATCATTGGGTCCTTGAGCAAAGCCCTTAAACCCCAATTGCTGTCCGACTCTGCTTTCTCAAAAATGTGCACATGGCTCTCAATAAAAACATCTGTGAAATAAAAAAGAAAAAATATCTCATCCCTTCAAAATCAGTCCATAAATGCAGTGAAATTGTGTGACACAAGTGTACCATAACGTCACACTGCACACTGCTTCTTGCCTGTGAAATTCAGCCTCAGACACATTATTTATCTCCATTACAGGTTGCTTAGCAGTGACGGCAAATCGAAGCACTGGAGGGCCACTGTAGGGCTGCGGTTAACCAAACCACCGCTGGGCAGGTAGTGGCCCCGCCCCCCTCTGTCAGGGGCACCACGTCACACGCGAGACAATCTCCTATTTCCTGCCTTCAAGGTGCACAAGATCACAGCCTGTCATATATGGGCCAACTCGGTTTTCACACATGGACGGGTGCAGTGAAAAGTCTCAGGTCACACTGTGCTAAATCACACGACAGAGCTGATATTAGTGTCCCCGTGGAAGGTAAAGGAAATAACTATTTTGTTCCTGTCAAGGTTTTTTTCAACGCAGTGAACATCGCACATCAACAATACTTGGCAAGTCCCAAATCAGCGGCTTAATGGGAAACGACAGTGAATGTTCTACAGGGAACCAAAATCGCATCTTCTAGAGTGATAAAAAAAAAACGACATATTCCATTTGCGTCTATAGGCCGCGAAACAACGCGCATTGAGAGCAGCGACCCAGGTGTGTGCTGAATTTGTTCCTGCCATATTGCGAAAACTGCACAGATTTTAATCTCGGTTCAAAGCCGGGTGTTGAAAGCTACAAGCTCGCAATCTGCTGCATGAGCTGGTTCTAGCACAACAGAAAGCGAATGCAGATATAAACTCCGTATTCCAGCCCAAAAATAGTACCAGGAACTTTGTGAATTTATACCCAAGGCACTCTGTCGGCTAAAGATTAACAACCATGGTTTCACAACCTTTTAAATCCCTTTTTTTCTAATATCAATCCGATCAAACTGTAGCCTGTAATTCTATAAATGTCTATATTAGTTAGTGATTTACTAAAGCTTGCTTTGCAGAGTCTTGGACAAAAACAAATAGGACCAAGGGTGTAGGAGAGAACTTGATAATTCAAATGCAAAGGTTTTTTTTTGGGGGGGGTGGGGGACACACAAATGAAACCAAATTAAATATTGGGGGGCACATGTCCACCCCAGTTCCTACACCCCCATATTGGACTGTTGGTGATTGAGGCTTATCCTTCTGAGAAACTGATGGAATGGAAATGCCAGGTCATAGCAGCTACCTGATGTCCTAGCGAATCAGGATCGAGCTTCAGGTCACATGACTGCCATCCCATTTCTTTCCCCAGGTTTCTAATCGAGATGGTCTGGATGTTTGTCTGCTGGTGCTGCATGTTCTCCACGGCGGGCGGAAAAGATCACGGTCCTTAAACCTTCTTTCGACAGGCTGTCCATATGAAACTTAACAGTTCATAGATGTTGATAGATGTTTGGCTTTTTTTGTGCTCTAATTCATCCTTAATTCTTAAAATATTTAACTGTGTAACTCATGGATGCTCATGCATTTTCAAAAAACAGGCTTACTGACAGTTAACAAGGCAGCTTTGTGGCGAACAGAAGAGCTTATGATTGAATGTCACTCATACCGCTTTCAATGCAGGTATTTCTCACCATTTTCTGCCAACATGTTCTGTTTGTGTGCTGTAAATGATAAAGTCTTTTAAAAGCACAGGTATTTGTGCTGTATTGATTCAGAACAATTCTAACAATATATTAAATATGGCAACGTAGGGCAATTTTTGAGGACGGTATTATCAAAGTACCTACACGACACATGACATTAACGCTATTTCCGCTGCTTAGAATTTATTAGCATTTCATCACACATAAGAGATACTTTTCAAAAGAGTGAGGAAAAAGAAAATTCCCTTACACAACTGAGTTACACGCAACACAGGTACATGGTAAACTCTCTCACTTTCTGTGGACCTTAGTGTTCGCCGTTCTGAAACATCAGTCACGCTTAAAGACGTTTCAGTCTGGCAGCGAATTTCCCCTTTGGGTCCATAGCTGTTTGTTCAGATGTTTCACTTAACACTTTTCACTTAACGCCTGCCTGGCCCAGATGTGTCCCGAATCTTATTTTTGGTTTTACCAGTTAATTAACTGAAATAACATGTCTATTCAAGGGGTAAAAAAAAAAATACACGTTATACAGTTTAAATACTACATACTGTTATTCGCAAACTGGAATCAGATGGCATGAGAACATCGCTGCCCTTGATCACCAGGTTAAACAGCTACACTAGAGCCGTTTCCTAATATGAACATTTTATTTTTAAAAATTAACTTAAAAAATCCAGAAAGGCTTCACAGGGGGCAAAACAATAACTGACATAGAAATTATAATATCTATGCATATCAAAGTGATCATGGTTATTTTATATATGTACAATATGAACATTTCTGCCCCTAACTGTTTTCAGAGCGTATTCAGTATTATGACAATGATGTATAACTTCATGCCCAAAAAGACCCCAAAATGTGAGAAAACTACCATGTAATATTAATGAACTATTTTTACAGCAGAGGACCCACGCTTATTCATTAGTGACTTTAAGAACTTCTCAGTCGAGAATTTGGAGGTTTTTTAAAACAATGTGGAAAATATTTATTTTACTTCGTTTGTTGACATGCAGAATGTATGTATAATATCTATATGTACATCAAAAAATCTGACATTGGTCTAATTTGGTCTAACTTTTGAAGCGTCTCTTCCTCTCTCTTTGGGACATAAAGAAAAACACCTAAAGCACCATTTACCAAAATCCTGACATGTGCCGTCTGTCCTTAATTCATTCTGTGTTTATTTACCATGCTGTTTATATTTACACTTGTCGTACTACTCAAAACACACAAAATCTATAGCCTAGTCATCACTTATAGACAACGTGTCAACACAAAAAAGTGTCAGCTCTCCTTTGGAGAAATACCAAGACCATTTTATATGCCTTTTAACTGTATACATTTATAGGAATGAAAAAAATGGGAAAAAAGTCTGAATTTCTGCACTGATAATCACACTGGAGGTGTGTGACAAAAACGATGTTTCGTTAAATGACATTTAGTTTGCTGATAGGTGTTGCCTTGATTTCCATATCATTGACATCCTGTATTAAACTGTTCATCCATACTTTAGCGAATAAAGATTTGAGGGGTTCCCCCCCCCCCACACACACACACACACACACAAGGCACATTGCTTTTAAAAAAACAGGCGTTCCTTTGACCGTGTTTCACTGTAAACGGCGAACAAAACTTCCAAAGAACTTAAATGGTCACCGTCAAGCCACAACAGAAAACAGGTCAAAATTACAATTAAGAATCCCAAGTCTGAGCACAGGTGTCCACCACATTCTGAAAATATGTCGCTAGCCTGTGGTCTTCGAGAAATGGAAAACCATTCGATACGACATAGACAAAATGGCCAGCAGCTAAACGATCTTGCACTGATTGATGTTAAACAGCGGCCGGCGGTTCTGCTTCTTGGCCTGATTGATGGCCGTCCGCACGGCGCACTCGAACACCTGTTGGATCCCGCGGTTGCTTATCGCCGAGCACTCCAGATAACCCTTCGCCCGTATGTCCCGCGCCAACCGCTTGCCCTCCATGGCGGTGACGCAGTTCCCCCGCTGTGGGCCCATTTCCCGCTGGTCGGTCTGCATGGCCACCACCAGTACGGGAATGCTGGGTAGGTGAGCTCGCACCTCACCGATCCACTTATTACGAACGCTGGCGTACGAGCTTAAGTTGGCCACCGAGTAGCAGAGCAACACCACGTCGGCCTGCTGGTAGGACATCGGCCGGATTTGCCGGAAGGTGTCATTGCCTGCCGTGTCCCACAGGCCCAGGCTGATCTGCACGCCGTCCATGAAGACTTCCACGCCCGTGTTCTCGTAAACCGTGGGCTTGTAGCTATCCGGGAAAGTCTCCGAGGTGAACCGAACCAGGAGGGCTGTCTTTCCGACCGCTGAATCTCCCACCAGTACGCACTTGACTGAGGTTTCTGTCATGCCGTTCATCTCTGCGGTGGAAGGGGTGGGGGGTCTCCTTTATTTGAATAGAAACGGAGTCCGGAGTCACGAGAAAACTCACAGGAAGGTAGGAGAGGCCATGGTCTGGCTAAAGTAAGTGCTTCTAAGGCTGTTTACGTTCTTCACGCACTGTAGGTGAATTGAGAGAGATACAGTCCTGTGCGTCCATGAAACTGTCAACAGCAACTTTCAGTGGCAGAATTGCAGTCGGCGTGTGACGCTGGGGCAGACATCATGGCCTGTTGTCAAGGAGATCTAAGGGGAGAAGAAGAATACCAGTTAGCTTACAAACAGTGTCGCTCGAAGCCCATGTGAGACCTAGTCAAGCTTTAATGGTGGTGCCCCCCCCCCCCCCGTGAAGGATGTATGTCCGAGACAAGTGAAATCGACTTGCTAAGTTAGCACCCCCTCAGAAGATGCCGCCCTAGGCAGCCGGCTATGTAACCTTTTCAACTGACCGGCACTGAGTACAAGGCACGTCCACAACAGACGGCAGACCTTGATGCGCCTGAGGAACTTCCGTAAGGCTTGGATGAGAAAAAAAGCGACCAGTTTCCAGCAGATACTCAGCGCATCTCATCCGTGTCCCTCGTGAAGTCTGACGAGAACCATAAACCCTGCTGCTCCTTTTAGCCATTTTTTAATCCCGCACCGGTGCACAAACTTCCTGGAAATACCACGGTGCATCTAGGCCAATAAATCTAAATCACTGGACTGAAAACTACAGACACGAAGCAGTTTAAAGACGCTTGGATGGATAGAATGAAAAGTAAACATAACTGAGTTCATGTCTGTCGAGTGCTGTAAACTATGGACCATTCACTTAATAAGTGACATGACCAGAATTTTGATGAAGATGAACAAATTCGCCACATTACAAGTTTTGACAAATAAAGAAGCAACTTCACATGTCGTCCCTTTTTCTGAAAGGTACAGAGAGAGTGATGCCAAAAACAATTAGATTAGATTAGATTTTGGTTAGATTAAATTAGATCACATTAGATTAGGTTAGTTTACATTAGATTAGATTACTTTATTGTCGTTGTACAGAGTACAACGAAATTTTTCGCAGCAATCCAAATGGGGCATCCGCACATAAGTAATTAAAATGCAAACTGAGGTAGCAGGGTAGAAGAAAAATGGACATGCGAACAATTTTGGACATCACACAGGACGTAACGTAATAACGCAGCACGATGGCCTCGCAGCCTAGGAGGCCAGAACCTTCCGGAAAGAAACTAGAAAGCTGCGGATTGCGTTCGGGCCTCCACGTTTTTGCACGGCAGCGATGCACGCTTGCTCAGAAATGAAGCATGGCAGGAAGGTGTTTGTGCGCTACTGAGATGGAGATGCACACGAACTCTGTGACGTTGGCTTAGGGACGGCTATTAACTGCAAACGCTGATAAGGCGGGCTGCGGGAGCTACAGCGTAATCGCTAACTTTATGAGTTCATGGAGAGCAAGTTGGGGTAGGCAAAAAGAGAGGGTATACCCACTGGGATTATTATTATTATTATTATTATTATTATTATTATTATTATTATTACCCTTAGTCCAGTGTACACCATTTGCACCAGCATACAAAAAAGCAACACAAATGACTATAAGCAATACTCATGTTCATATTTTTTCTCCTAGACCGAATAAAACAGACGTATAAAACTGCAGAAAGATCTAGATTTATGAATGAGTGTCAAGACTAACTTGAGATTTTATTGTCAGAATCACAGAGGATGGAATACGGATAACATGACGGCCCGCTTCTGCACACCCAGATCACAGACTGCGAGGCCCGAGACCGCGGGTGCCTACGGAGGCACGAGAACATGGGCAACACAGAAAGCACACAAAAATTTAGCTGCGTTTGAACTTCTCTGCTTAACGTAGCCGAGTGGAAAATATAGCTTTTGGTTGATATGCCTACGCACCATACAAATAAACAACTTAATTTTCTTTATAAAGTGCCGTTGATATCTCACATTTCACACATTTACTGCACTAAACATTTTCTTTAATCCAATAATACGTTTTATAAATAACATTTCACACAGATGGACAGATGTATGTATGTATGTTTTGGTCAATATTTTTATATATTTACATTAGATTACTCGAAGGTCTACAACATTTCGGGGAACATGAAACAAAGATATTAAATACAGGCCGATCAATGATTGCAAACATCAATCTGACGATGATTTTACCTGTGTTAATTTATATTAAGCAATTCATACTGATTTTCTTTTTCAGGTTTTCTTTCAAAGTTTTGTTGAAAATGATTCGCCTTGATAAATTTGAGTTGATGGCAACTTAACGACAAATAATTTCCAAAACATGCACTAATTAAAACTACGAACATATATTTGTATGCTTTATTTTCAATTAATATAATCTGGAAAGGTCTCTATAACGTTACAGTAAAAGCACTTAATTATAATGAATTATATTTTAAAAGTATAAAGGCCTATTTAAAACCAATACACATTTTCCGGCATGTTTCTATAACAAACGCATTTTCGCTTTATTTGCTGTTTTTACTGAGCATAGACATTACAATTTTACCCTATAGGCCTATTTCATGTAAGCCATACCAAAAATATTTGTGATCCATTCATAAAGCGTATTTGAAAATATTTTAATCAGTATTGCAAAAATACAAAATTCCAAGTGAAATCAAAGCTTAATTCTTACCTACCCAGATTCAAAGTAACGGTCCAGTACAGCCTCTCGTTGAGACGACAGACAGAACCGATCAGAATATATATTTTTTGCTGCGATGAAAAACTGGTAGCCTATATATTTTTAATTGTCTTATCCGAACATATCCGCCAACGTTCAGAGTAAGACTAGAAACAGTTATCGCTATTCCACTTTCAAGACGAGCAGCTCTGAAGATGATGTGTATAGGAAGTGAAAACGCTCCGCGCATTGTGCGGCCAACATCCGCTTCATTATGTGGAGGTGTGAACTTCACGCTTTTAAGTCTCTGAAATACACGATCGCAACAGAGGTGCGGTGTCTGTCATTTTAATACAACCCTGTCAGTAGTTATAGCTGCTCTATCGACGTTTCAAAAAAAGCGCTGAAATGATCCAAATTTAAGTTAATAGGTCAGCGTTGTTGATAGCCTACCTGATGAAGTTGAGTTTGGTTGTAGTTGCTCCTTCTACACATATTTGTTTTGGTATTAGTCTGATTTGAAGATGGGGGGCATATGGACACCCCACCAAAGAAGTGCTCTATCCCTAGCTGACCAGTACGAGGTGAAGTAGACCGAGAAATACTCCGATTAATCTGGATTAACACAAGAAAAAAGCAAGCAAGGCAGGTGGGGGCTCCCTGGGCGCTGCTACGGGTGGCTGCCCTTCGCGGACAACTTACTCCACTAAGAGGAAGTTGAGGGAGGCGTGAAGACAATTTCCCCACGGGGATTAATAAAGTATCAATTATTATTATTATTATTATTATTATTATTATTAAAACTGTATGATGTGTAATTTCATATTACAAAATAGACCTGTTATGATTATATAATTTACTGGATTACTCAGTTATTAAAAAGCATCAATCAAAATGTTCCATTTCAACTACTCGCAATATGGCGGAAGAAAGATGGCTAATACGGGTGAGGCTGCAGATAAAGAGCGAATGGATTTGTTCTGTAGAAGCTCTTATCGCTAAAAGTGAATGAAAATGCAGTTGCTTGTCAATCATGCACCACAGCAGGAATGCAGTACAAATGTATCTTAAAAGACGACGATCACGTTTGACAGACTCTACAAAAGATTAACCATAGATACGTACACTATTTGGACAAAAGTACTGGGACACGCCTCTCGATCATTGAATTCAGGTGTTTCTTTGAGATCCATTGCCACCGTTGTATAAAATCAAGCACCTAGCTATGCACTCAGGTTCACAAACATTTGTGACAGAATGGGTCGTTCTGAAGAGCTCAGTGAATTCTGGCGTGGTACTGTCACAGGATGCCACCTTTGCAATAAATCAGTTTGAGATTTTTTTTTCCCCTGCTAGATATTCCACGGTCAGCTGTAAGTGGCATTACTGCAAAGTGGAAGCATTTAAGAACAATAGAAATTCAGCCACGAGATGGCAGACCATGTAAAGTAAAAGGGTGGGGCTGTCGAGCGCTGAGGTACATAGTGTGTAAAAGTTGACAAAACTCTGCTGACAATAACTGCAGAGCTCCACCGGAAGCTGTATGGAATGGGCTTCCATGGCCGAGCAGCTGCATGCAAGCCTCACATCACCAAGCGCAGTGCCAAGTGTCAGATGGAGTGGTGTAAAGCACACTGCCATGCACTGGGCACTGGAGCAGGGGAAACCTGCCCTGTGGAGAGATGAATCACGCTTCTCTGTCTGGCGGTCTGATGGATGATTCTGGGTTTGGCAGATGCCAGGAGAACGTTATACCTGTCTGACTGCACTGTGCCAACTGTAAAGTTTTGTGGAGGATGGGGTTGGGTTGGGTTGGGCCCCTTAGTTCCAGTGAAGGGAACTCTTAATGCTTCAGCATACCAAGACATGTTCGACAATTCTATACTTTGTGGGAACAGATTGGGGAAGGACGTTTTGTTAATTACCAAAATAATACGTAATGCAGTACTTCATAACCATATATTTTTGTGCGAACGTATTGTGCTTTTAATAGGGATGAACGAAACTGCACAGAGTTCGCATTGCATAATTTTGAGTTTTTGCGGTATTTAGAGGTCTGTTGCTGCTGGTGTTGTGAGTTGTGCTTACAGACACAAAACACTGCTGACAAAACACTTGCTTTTGTTCAATATTGTCTCTGTCGAAAAGAAAGATATTTCCATACGCTGGAAGACAAATCTCTTGTTAACCATTTCTTGTTCGCTTTTCTCCTCACTCATTTTTGTTTAATTTCTACCAAACATACCACACAGTCTATGACTGAGTCCAACAGCAAGCAGAAAATTTACGAGTCTCAGAGCGCATGCAGAGCTCAGGCAAAGAAGTGGTGGTAAATTTCAGACTGATTTTTTAAAAAAAAAACGTATAGCCTACTAGGTAACGTTGAAAAAGAACCATTATTAAAATTGCAATTGGGTTTTGTTTCCTGTGACTGTGTAAAAATGTTTTAGCGCAACTTATGGGTTGAACCCAGCAGACTATTGCGGTCTTCACAATGTGACGACTGCATTTGCATGAAAAGCCATATTGATATTTACGTCGCATTTCGTGTAGGCTTATTGAGGGTGGTACAGTGGGTAGTGTCATCACTGCACACTGTTTCTTTCTGTGTGTGGAGCTTGCATGTGTGCGTGGCTTTTTGGCAGTCTCCGGTTTCCTTCCACTGTCGAAAAACATTTGTTAGGCAAGAGTGCCTAAATTGACTTTTTGGGTGACTGTGAGTGTGCACCCTGCAACGGTTGGTCGGTAACTGCCTTGCACCACTTGCGATGTTTGCATTATATAAATGTTTAGTCGATGAATCTGATTAATCGGCAGATTGCGCAGCTTTTGATGTGATCGATAGTGACAGCCCTAACTACAGAACTGTGGAGTCAAATCACGGGAAATAAATGGGGTGGAAAAAACATGCTAGTTGTGGTTTGGAGTGTTTCTTAATTACCTGACCATAACACTTATGCACCAAAAGGTCTAAAATCTAAACATGGCTTACTTCACAAATCCTTATAGCAGCTCTTACCCTCCACAAATGTGCCTGAACATGATAATATTTATAAATCATGAACTGAAGCGTTAAATGTTATACGTTACCAGTTCCTGAGTCTAGGCACGGCCTAATTCACCCATACTTTTTTTGCTTTCACTATACAAACTGAAAAGGAAACTGAATTTTGACACAGCAACAGTCATGCTTCTACTCTCCTTCACACAGATATTTAAGAATCACAATTTCTATTATTAAAGGAAACAGGAATAAAATCAATGCATAAGTAAAAGAAAAATGTCATGTCTCTGATATACAGTAATAGGAGAATTCCCCTTCATTCCCTCAAATCGTGGGGGATATTGGAGCAGAACGAGGTAAATCATGTAGTGAGCGGGAGAAGCAGCGAAGCTCACAGGGGTTTTGCGTTGGAAGGAGATTGTCTGAACAGCTGTAAGGCATACATACGAAGACCCATTTTAGAGCACATGTTAATCCTAATGGACTAAACGCAGATTACTGCGCACGATTTCCTACAATGTTTTATTCCCATATAATATAGATATTTTAAAAAAATAAATAAAATGTTTAAACCTGGTGATCCACTCAGTTGTACAAAACTGCCGCAAAACTCAAATACAAGTGAAACCCACTTTGAGCTGCACAGAAACACGACGTCGACGTCAAAAGCTACTCGTACACCTCCCACAGGAAGCTGGCTTCTGACAGAAGTCATTCTTCGCTGGAACAGTCTGCTGTCTACGTAGAGGTTTATATTATAGATCTTAGACCAAACCTTAAAAGCAGTGTTTCTCAACCCAGTCCTCAGCGAACCCCAGCCAGTCCACGTTTTTGCTCCCTCCCAGCTCCCAGCCAATCAGGAACACCGAATAGCTGGTACAGGTGCGCTGGGAGCTGAGAGGAAGCAAAAACGTGGACTGGCTGGGGTTCGCTGAGGACTGGGTTGAGAAACACTGCCTTAAAGGATGAAGCTCCTGTCGAGGTGAGAGTTGCGGATACTGTTGACAATCCCATTGAGTCAGCCGGGGTTCTGCAGGGTTGCAAGTTCACAGGCCAAAGTAACACTGACATTCCAGCTCATTTGTCATTCATGTAAAGTCTATTTTCTCAATCTCTGACTTACCATGAAGTTCCTCGATTTCAGCTTTTCAAAAAAGCCCCGGCTGTGATGTCAGGTACCCAAACGAACAAGCTCACTGCTACCATAAGCTCAGAGCCCCCCCCCCCCCGCACCCCAGAAACAGGCTAAAGACCTTTGAAACGCAAAGGAATATTTACCTATGAAGGACACGAAACCAGGGCAAACAAATCAGAGAAGTTTATTTATAAATGTCATTTATTCATCTCTTAGCAAATAGCAAATCTGTAAAATCTGTATTGGCTTCTAACGTGTTTTATATACTGTTCTGTACATATTGAAAATATGCTGAAATTATTTTAAAAGTTAAAAAAACACATAAATAAAGGTTATTGCACATAAAAGGAGGAATTAAGTACCAAGCAAGTATCAAAGACTGACTCCCAGTAACAATGTTTTTTTTTTTTGGGGAGGGGAAATCAACCACTTGTATTTGTTAAAAAATAATCATAAAATATAAGAGATTGCCCATGTCCTGCCAGGGTTTCCCAATATGACTCACGTTGTAATTTAAAACGGCTGGTCTGGTCTTCCGGTTCAATTAAGAATGCTATGAATTATTACAAAAAAGGGGTCATGCTTTTGAAAAACGCCACTTACAGCCGGCAGAAAAGCAAGCATGTTAAACATTCACATACCCAAATGTAAAAATATATTTACGCTGTACATCATTAAAAGACAGTCCTTAGTTTTTATAAAAACGATATAATGTTCTAATTTTGGAACAGAAAAAAAACTTTTAAGCAAATTTACACGGAGAGAATCAGAGTGGAAAAGGGAGGAAATGAGGGCAATGCTAAAAATACGAGAGAGAGAGAGTGTGAGGGAGAGAGAGAGAGAAAGACCGAGCAAGCGAATGAGTGAGGGAGAGAGAGAGAGCGAGCAAGAGAGAGAGAGATTAATACTATTGGTTAAAAAAAAAAAAAAAAAAAACACTGACGACAACGACAACATGTCAATGTAGTGTGACCAGCACTATTCCAGGTCTTGGTTCTGAATACCTGATAACCAAGAAGGGAGAAGAAATAAGAAAATCTGCATATAGATGAGCTACATTTAACCAAAAATGGCACTAAGCATCATGTACGAGTGCCGTCACCATCGCTGCAGAGCCCAGGGGGTGCTGGGGGGGACATGGCCTCAGACTCACCTGTAGCTATTGCTGCTGAGGTAGTCGATGACGGCCGGCCGGATTCGGGCCACACCCCCATGGCTGTGGTTCCCCCTTCCAGTGATGACTGTCAGTTGAGGCCCACATCCTCCCTGCTGCCACTCTGTGGGGGACAGGAAGCCGACGGCAGAGACTAAGACGCCGTGATCAACACCTGGGCAGCCAGAAACGCCACCACAAGACACATCTGAGGCACTTCGGATGCTATAATATACCAGCAGGAGGTGGGAGCAGCCGAACGATGGGCCGGTTGTGGCCAGGGCGACAGCCAATCACACGTAACGACACATGCAAACACGTGCGTGATTGGTGAACAAGACCCCGAGCTACAGATAGGCTCCTCCCCCACGCTGCGCACACATAATATGCTCTTTTGATTTGTTGGTGCACGTGCAGCTAACCCCATCTAATCACCACTTCCTTGACCGCCCTCAGCAGCTTATGGGCAACATCAGGCAGCGTGTTTCAGGTCAGGAACATTTTAGTAGGAACTTCCACTCTCCTGGGTCGTGGTTAAACAGCTGTCGTTTAATTAAAACTCAAGACTGAGACCATTACAAAATTTCCAAAAAGGTTAAACTGCCAAACGCCTGCAGTTGGAAAAGATTCAATTCAGAAAGGTCTACAGATTTTAACAACAGAATGGACCTGACCCCCACCCAAGGGCAAAAGAGTTTCATATGGGAGGGGCACAACCTAATAATAAAAATGGGTGATCGAGAGGCGTGTCCCCCCCCCCCCCACAGTGTGAGAAGCCGCACCTGAGATTCATAAGAGGAGACACACGGTCATTATATTCGCCTTAAATGTCCATCACCCTGCTCTGACAAGTCTACTTGCAGTTTGACGTTCATGTTTAGTCTGCCCACGGATCCATCATCTGTGCAGCTTCTAACTCTCCACCCCTGATACAGACGCTGAAGATTGAGAGAGACCTCCGAGGCGTGCACCCCCCAGGTGCAGAGAGCAGGTCTGCCTTCGCAGCAAGTTTAAAACGCCCGCGGAATGACTCCAGTTACACAACCCGACTGACTGAGTGGCCAGTTAGGGTGAAAGTCTGCATGGTGCCACTGGAACACTGGGATGCTTAAGTCAACAAGACAGATTAATCCTTGGTGACAAAAAGAATCTGCCCTAACCACAAAACACACACAAATGGTCAATGTTTGCAGTTCATTAAATCTCACGCACAGTTAAACACAAAAATGCACTTGGGCAACCTGAATTAACGTAATAAAAACGACCAGCAACTAGATCTTTTTCGGGGGTTAAATAGATGAGAAACGTTGGGTGAAATTATGTTACACCTAAAAAGCAAATGTCATGACAGCCTCTCCATAAAGGAGTTATAACCTGTGTTACCTGCAGTCTTTCCCTCCAGCACCGTTCCCAGGTGGTAAAGGGCTTCATCCACATGCAGACCGTGCAGGTCCAGAACATTCTGAGGCAGGAGCGAGGAATTGACCCTCTCAAAGATCTGCACGGCCGCTCGGTGGTTTGCTTCCTTCATCTTCTGCCCGTGAAGATGACCCTTGAAGATTTGGGCATACAGAGGCACAGTAAAGCCAGGACACTTGTGATCACTGCGGTCCAGCAGCCTCCATTAAGTCCTGGCTCATTAACTGGGTCCCAGTCACCCACCTGCTGGGAATAGAAGCTGGCCACCTGCTTCCTGCCCTGCCTGTATGCATCAGCAGCTTTGCTGAAGCATTCCTGCTGCTTCTTCCTCTGCAGCGCCGCTTCGGCACGGAAATCCTCATACTCCGGGTCCTCCGTGTCCTGGAACTGCGTCCAAGGTGGTTCCGGATCCTTCATCTTTGGCCTCTGAGGGAGATGATGATTGGTTGGCTCACATCTGGCAGAGTCAAGTGCCTGTGTGGAGATACCCACGTTCTCTTTGCTGGCGTTCCTCTCCCCGTCCCTGAGCAGGGCAACTTCTGGGGCCACCACAGTCTTCACCGGCCCTTGGTCCAGGATGGACCTGAGAAACTGCTCGGTCTGCTCCAAAGAGTAGCTGCCGGGAAAGGATGCCAGATTCCGGGGTCAGCGGGAATTTCATGTCACTCGAGACATGATGGCAGATGACCGTACGCCAGACGGAGGGGAGGCATATCGCTTCAGCCGGGAGCCGAACGTCGAGTACGAGGTGCAATGGGGGAGGGGTTTATAACGAGGGGCCCCTTATCATCCGATACCCCAACCCTAACCCTTATCATAAACCCCTCCCACCCCATGTGATAAACCCCTCCTACTCGACAATGCCCATCCTACTAGCCCAGGGTTATTCAAATCACGGTCCTCGAGGTCCGAGCCCTGCTGGTTTTCCAGCCTTCCTTTACCTGTGACCCAGGTTGTGAAGCCTCTGACCAATCAGAATCAGTAATTATTAAACTAACTACCTGGGAGAACTAAAAACACGGCCTGGATTTAGAATCGAGGTTCAGATTTGAAGAGCCCTGTACTAGACTGTACTAGACCCGGCTGCAATGATATATACTTCAAACGGAAGACAATACAAAACCCTGTGAGAGTAGGACTTAAAAGAACTGATTTTATTACAACAGACATTTTAACACGATTGTATTGCCAAACCTACTTGTTGTCCCTGAACATGTCCTTGAGAAAGTGGCAGTCAATCGCAGGAAACATGCTGTAAAGCTGCTTCTCCTTCAGTAGGGCGGCGCCGTCTCTCCTGCTCGGCTCCACGTGGTTTGATCGGTACTACAGAGGCCAATGGGAGCGATTTCTCAGGGCTACCAGTCATATTTCTCTACTGACACAGCACAGACTGCAGCCCCTCCGACAAGATTAAGTTTTGCGACGTTCCTACCGCGCTCCATCACCAGCCTACCTTTTCCAGGTTGTGCTGCAACGCCTCTTCCTCAGACATGATGTCGCGCAGGGATGCGTGGCTCAGAGGGGCATTCCAATGGTCCATGAAGGGCAGATTTTCCAAACTGTCTGGCTGACAGAGGGATGCCAAGCAATCTGGCCTAAGAAACTGAGAATTTCCCAAGGGAAGGGAACCTGAAAAACATTTCCATTACATTGTGGGGTACAGCAGACAAATGAATCGAGTTAAGATGATGCTGGTGGTGAATAGTACGCTTTCAAAATATACAGATGAAACAGAAGGTCAACAGGTCATTCATAAACTGATTTTTTTTTACACAGGCATGTAAGCAAGATGCTGTATTCACCTTCCTGAAGAAACTGGTAGAAAAGTGCTTCCTGCCTGTGTCGTTCCTGTGAACACAACAATTCGTACTCTGAAGAGATAAAAATACCCCACCGTTATCGTAACACCCACACTCCAATATTTACAAACCTGTATGGAGTCCTTCCACTTCTGGTGAAGAAGTCGGGCCAGGTTCAGATCGATCTGTACTGCACAGTCCTCGGGGGTCAAAGCACCTGAGGACAGCAAAATAAGAACACGGTGTGAGTGCCGACTGCGTGGTAAAAGTGGACCTTCTGAAACAATTTAACATTTCCAGCGTCTTGCTCCTTCGTTACCTGGATCAATGCCCACAGGTCCAAAGAGCTCACTGAGCTGCAAGGCGAGTTCTGTGGGTAGCTTGAGCTCCAAGGACTGAATATCCACTGGCATGATTTGCTGCTTGGCAGGTCGATCTCTCTGGTCTTCCATTTTCAGCTTCTCCTTTGAGTGCTCATCCTCTTTCTTATTTAGCTCTTCAAACTGTCCCAGACTAACAGGCTCCTCAACTTGGACGTCATCTGTCGCAACATTACTCTCATATTCAACTCCCCAAGAGCCTGCCTGCTCCTCTGGTTTCTGTGATGCAGGTGCTGCAACGGCTTCATTGAGCTGGTCCTCGCTAAACCCTTTCAGATCTCCAAAAAGGACTTCTGCTTGTCTAGAGCCCATAGATGAAGGCATGATGATGTCCAGTGAGGAACAATGAGCTAATGGTGCCTCTGGTACAGGAATACAGTTAATGGGTCCCTCTTTGGATACTGGTTCGATGGTTCCAAGGCAGTTCTCCAATGTCAGCATGTCATCCTGCGTACTTAACTGCTCAGCATCAGCATTGTGGGCCACTTCCTCCTTAGAACATACAGCCAGCATCTGAAGGTCAGCATCCAGTGTTGGATTTTGGACCTCTGAGCAACTGAGGGCAGCAGACTGCTCAGCACTTAAGACCGGACCATCTGTACAAGAGGGTTCAACAGCCGTGTACAAACTATCCCCAGCGGGCCGACTGACAATATCTGGCCCAAGAGCATCTCCAGTCTCATCATCTTTGAACAGCTGCTCACCAGAGTCTAAGAGTAGATTGGTGGTCCACTCCATGTCTTGGTGACATTTTTCATACAGGTCCTCCAGAGTATCAAAGGAGACTAGCTTGAAGTGTCGGCTGAGGACCTGCAAGTCCTGGAGCTTATCGTTGCCACTGCTTAGCTCCTGCTCCTCTACCTGAGAACCCTTGTCATGCACCACACGGTATGGCACATCCGGGCAGTCAGAAGACTCCAGGGCTCCGGCTGGCTTGGGAAGAAAGCGGGTGGAATCTCCTTTCATCACCTTCACCCCAAGGCCATCAGTGTTGGTCTGACACTGTCGGTCAAGCCTCCAAAGCAGAGCAAAGTCCTGCGGGTTAGTCTGTGTAGCAGAGTAGCTGCAGATGCTGCTAGATGCTGGCCGCCCTGGGAACGCTGCATATAAGGAAGTCGCTGGAGGCGACTCAGGCGGGACCTGGGGTGCACAGGAGCTATTGTTAGAGAAGGTGAGGGCTAGCCTGCAGTGCTTCCCCGACCTCCGGTTCTGCCTGAGCCTACGCTCCTGACTACCCCTGGGTGAAGGAACAGTTGGGCTGCTTTCCGTCTCTGCTGCTGACGTAGCTCCAGGAGTTACAGGCTTCCCAGCAGTGCTCCCAGAAGGACTTTGAAGTTCTTCCAATTTTCCACTCTGGAACTCCTTGCTTATCCCAGTGGAGCAACTGCTACCTTCCCTGGTCAAAGACGGTCCGTCGTTTTCCTCTACTGTGGCACAAACGGTGCTAACACTTTCTCCTGCTGCTGGGAACTGTGGTATCATGTTTTCAGCCATCGCCTCGCCATCTGTCCAGTGTGCCACACAATCCAGCAGCTCAGGCTTGCTCTCCCTGCCTAATCCCTGGCTTCCCTCTTTGCTGGACAAGGATAAATTCAAGGCCTCTTCTACACCAGAGCCAGCTTCAAGAGTTAAGTCCTCAAAACTTGAGTGCACTGCAGAACCAACCAGAGAGCTTCCACGGGAGTCCACTGGGGGATTTACACATTTTCCGGAAGAGTCAACACTGACTTGTAACATGTCTAGCAGTTTCTGAAGCTCTATCATTTGTGAACCAGTGTCCCCACCTGAACCGCCACTGCAGCTCTCTGCCACTTCCAGCTGACTGTCCTCCTCCAGAAGCGACCTGCCGTCTTTTTCCCTTGTCCTCTGCTCCCTCTGCTTCTGAGCCTCCAAGGGCCAGTCACCCACAAAATCCATCAACTCTGGTTGTGTCTCATCAACAACTACAATGTCAGAGTCCTCACTTCTTGTGTCCCCTACATTGACACACTCTAGTCGGAGAGCAGCTTGGTCCTGCAGGACATCATTAGTACTGTCTGCCTGCATGACACAGGTCCTGTCACGCTTTACTCTTTGGCTAATTGACTCAAAAAAGGCCACAGGCTTATCATTCTTTCGGTCCTCTTGGCCGGTCTCTGGGGTCCACTCTGTGGCCAAGGCCTGGCTTCCTCCCAAAGTACCTGAGCAGCTCTCCGGGTCCCAGTCCGTAGCCCACGGCTCTTGCAGCTCAGCACTGTGCACTTCTAGAGCTCCACTCTCATGAGAATCCTGCCCTTTCACCAACAGAGGCTCACTGGCAGTGTGGCTGCTTTCAAAAAATCCAACACCGCTACTGCTGGTCTCATCTTTTGTGGAACTCCCTCCGACTGAAGACACGTCTGGCAAGGAGGAGAAGAGCTGGAAGTTTTCCTTCATCGACCCTAGGTTCAGGTAGGGCTCTTCCACAAGGTCTGGTTTCACATCAGATGAAGAAGGCCTGCGCAGAGGCACAAATAAAGCCATCAGCCTGCTACAAAACTAGTCTTTCTACACATACACTGTGTCTCCAATATGCCTGATGGCCACATGGATGAACTACATTAATTTCAGAGGTATAGCAGCGGGGGGCTCACTGTGACAGGCTGCTCTCTTCGTGGGGCAGCTTTGCACTACTGCTACCTAGTACCGGAGACTTTGTCCCAAATGAACGCATGATGGAGTCCACAGAGACATGGCGTTCATAGTGATCCAGCATGTACCTGATCTTCTCTTTCCGGACCCCGTGCTTATTGCGTCTACGGAAAACAACACGTGAAGTGTCACCATCACGGAAGGCTTCTGGAATCAGCCATCACTCATACCTCCTCTTTCCCACGGACTTAAAAAATAATATGTGATGTGTGCCAAAGGGAACTAACCTCTGCCAAGCTGAAGGCAAAGTCTGCATGGCAACACCAAGTATAACTACACATGGAGAAATGTCTCCTTAAGTACGACATACCTCTCCAGCTCTCTTGGTCTGAATTTCCACCAGGTATCAGGCTCACGAAACATGACCTTGAAGTTATACTGAAGAGCCTGCAAATGTATTTCAAGATTTTATGTAAATAAGCACGATGTATTGGGTTCAAGGAGGAAATTCGGTAACAGGTGGCAGAGTGAGAAGTTCAGATGGGCTCTTATGACCATAATGGCTGAGCTGAGGCAGACGTCCAACGGAGTCACGACAAACCTACCAGACTCACGTAGGGTTTCATCTCCCAGCACTGCATGTTGGTGTTGTCGATGATAATGGGAGATAATCCCTTTTCAAAACTCTCCTTGGCTAAGAGGCAGAAGAATCAAACAAAAAAAGAAAGTCATACATATTACATATTTACAAAGCCACAATAATGTTACTAGGTTTTTAGCAGAATAGTTACAGTACTGTTTATCGGTAAACAACAAGCTGAAATGTAGCCAATCGTAAACGATTCCTATTAAGAGAGAGAAAAAAAACAAACAAACGAAAGACTATAGCTAGGGGAATACCTAGACATCCCGGCCCCCCTGACAAAATGTCACCTTGGGCCCCCTGCTTAGGAAGGCACTTTCAGTCGCTCAATTGATTTTGCTGAGCAGGGAGGATTTTGGGGCCCCTACAAAGTGCTACCCCCCCTGAATTTGTCATGGTGTCCTTGCAAGCAAGTACACAAGTGTTTCATATGAGTTTTCTTACTTCTAAATTTTACGCACAAAACACCCCAATGTCGATCACAATAGCTATACCTCGGTTATGATTCCATTCATGTGCTTCTGCAAGTTCCGAAGGATCGTAGTGGTAGAATCCATCACGACGGAAGTAGTCATCAGTACTTAACACCACACCACCGGGGTTCTCTTGCAGAATGTTCCTGGACACAATGACATAAACGCAAATTAGTCCGTAGGACTGCAACACATCATATCGTGATATATTCTCGATAATATGGCGCATGCGCAATAATCACCAGGGCTCGAGTAATCTGTATAAATTCTGCGTACCCTTTATCTTTATTAAAATCAGTCAGCAGAACATGCCACATACTACTGTTTTGGTAAAGCATGGAACAGATAAACACTGAGGTGGCAGTAAATGAAGGAACAGCTCGACAGGCACAACGTTATTTCAAAGAGAAGAAATTGTGGATAAGCAAGGTAAAAAGACGACAATGGTGTGGTGGTACTTTTTGCAGTTTAATGTCCGATACGTTTGTGAAACATAACGATAGGCAAAGTTTATACAGATTAGTAACTTTTGGGCATTAATATTAATATTAACATTAATATTTTAGGTGTACTACTAATCTACTTACCAAATTGTGGACATAAGTAAATATCTATATAGTACCAAAAAGCTGGGGTCTGGACAAATGTTTACACCAGTCACCTAAAGCCCTACTAATTATTGCACGTGGCATATAATTGCAATGTGACATTGAGCAGCACTGTTAGTCATTAAAGAGGGTTGGCATCTTTGCCATCAGAGAGTTGGAACAAGTCCGATTTGGGTCACATCCTGACAGCTTCAGTACCTGGCCAGTGTCGATTTTCCAGATCCTGGGGCCCCTCTCAACACCACCAGCAAGCGGCCAATCAAACGGTTCGATCGGACCTGCGGTAGAGGTTTGGGGGCCGTAGGCACGGTCCAGGATTTTGGTACGGTGGCTGCAGGCTTCATGGGTGGCTGCTGCGCAAAACTGTGGCCCAACCAGTAGGAGGCGCACTGAAGATTCCAAGGCCCCGGATTCACCACCGGGACGACGAAGGGTGGGGTGACGGTTTGAGACGTTACGCCGCTGGGGTCAGATTTTGCATGCTGCACCCCTGCAGAGGTTGTGCTGTGAGGGCCCCTTCTATAAGCCTGGAAAGCAGAGGGGTAGTCAGGTCCCGCCCGTGAGGAATTGCTGCTTGTAGGCTCAGAGGTCAGATGGCTAAAGTCCAATATTCTCAGAGGTTCTTTGGAACCTGCTGTTCCTATAACACTGAGGCCACTCAGAGGGGAGCAGGACCCAGAGCTATTCAAGGCCCCGAACCCAGTGTCTGTGTGAGAGGTTTGCACGCTGGACTGGAGCAGCTCTGGCAGGGCCTGGTGGGCCTCTGGCAGCGGAAGCGAGGACGAGGACAACGCCGAGATGCTCGCGAGCTCCCTGTCAATGAGCACGTCAAAATCTGCAGTGAGATGTGTCCCAATTCCATCCAAGTTCTTGCCCTGAACCCCCAGGGCTCTGCTGGCAGGTGATTCAGGCACAGTGTCACCCAACAGTGGTTTTGGCTCCAAAAGCGCAGCAGCAGTTTCGAACCCTGAGACACTGCAAGAAGGAAATTCAGCCGTCTCAGCGGACATCTCCAGCATAGAATCCATTGCCTTCTCCACTGTGAAAGGAATGTTCCAAAAGAAAAAATGTTAGCGGAAACAAATAACCAAACCGAACTCTGTAATGGAGATTCCGTGCAGATCTTAAGGAGTGTGCTTTACCTCGGCTTTCTAAACCTGTAAAATGAGGTTATTAATGTAAGCTAAAGTTCCAGGCCAACAGATGCAAAAGTCTCACGTGGTACGGTACTATTTCAGGAAACGGCCTGCAGTTGAAGCGGCAACACATAACATAAATTACATATAAAACACATCCCACTAGGCAGCCTAATGTCCTGACAACCTCGCCTTTCGAGATCAGACATTAGCAAGTTGAGTCCGATGGCAGTTTTAAGACCAACATGCTGAGCCATCTGTCCATGACTTCCACAGTATCATCATTTCCTACCTGCTTGTTTACCACCAACAGAGCCTACTGGGGTACGATCGGCTGCGTGGCGAGCACCGACTAAAAAGAAGCAGCCACCTGCAAGTCTTCGGGATTGCCATTTTATAAAACGTTATCTTTAAATAACTACTTTTGATAACTAACGCGTAAGACGTGCGAGACGTGCACACCCCAGAACGCAGTAGGCCGTATCGTTTAAACATACCAGCATGCAAACAAAACTGCAGCACTGATCCATAATCCTACAACCGCTAACCCTAAGCCTAAAGCACCGGGAGGGGGGGGCCTGGCTGTCTCGAGGGTCGGTCCCTTAGTACCAGCTTCGCGTTACCTTTGAAATCGCACTCGGCCAGCACCATGTAAACGACCTCGGGATCCAAGTGTGCAAACATTTCCTGCATGCTCTTCACCACGTCGTCTTTCCCTAAAACTGCGCTCGGATCCGCGGGCAGACGGACGCCTCCGCAGTTTTTCGCCATCCTGTCCGTACCAGTGTCCCCAGCAGCCACTCCAGCCTTACTGGACATTCCGGGAACTCTGGTTGGACTCTGACCGTTTTTCTTCTTTTTTGGCATCCTGGAGTAAAACAAGACGTCGGCTAACTATTCTACTCCACCGCTAGTAACAACTCAGACGGTGCCTGGCATTAAACTTAACGGGGGAAAAGAAAAACAAACACTGCCAACGCGCCTTAACACAAAATAAACATAGAGTTTAAGTGAGAGCGTCCCAAGCGGCCGGATGTAGAACTGCCGCGCTTGGAGGCGCTGTCGCGATGTGCGATATTCAGTCCTGCTTATTAAAAGATGCACTTTCTGCACCAGCCATAGTCCTTGGCTGTCTTCTAATTTTAAAAAACCTAATCAGACTGTTCTGGTCTCCATTATATCATATATGATCGGCGGTGTTCTCACAAAATGACTCAACGAAATATATCATGTCATATCAAAATTACTGGCTGTCAGCTAATACGCAATAAAATACGCCATCGTGTTAGGTGAATGAAACCTGGATTCCTATATGAAAGTGAAACAAAGGTAATACACCGGGGGGCGATATACCAGTCCTGTTGCAGGCATTATTTACTCAAATTTATTAGGCAAAAATTAAAATGATTACGAAGGTCCTTATTAAAGAAGGAAAGAAAGTGTCAGTAATTCATTTTCTAGCAGACAACTAGTGGTAGGTAGATAAGGTAAGCATTCCTTTCCGGTAATCTGCCCTAGAGTAAGTGTTCCCTTGCAGCCATTTACAGTGCCCAGTGCCGTGATTTTTTATCACCCTAACAGGGAAGACGGCGCCCAGTGCGTTGCTTTTTGGAGGGCTAGTCTGCAGATTTCCCTGCTCAAACACACCTTATTCAGCTCACCAGCCATTTTCCAGGTTTAGCAGGAGCGCTTGAGCAGCGAAATCTGCAAACTGTGTCACAGACTGGCCTCCCAGCACCGGAATTGGGGAACCCTGCAAGGCCACTCGATCCTCACATCGCCTGATGTGAAAGTTACTTTTGAATCGCCTTTCCTCTCACTTCCACCCCCTCCATTTTCCTACCGTAGTACCGACTTTAGACTGTTGGTGGCGCTGTGCTTTTATTTTCCGCGGAGACGGTGAGAAACTGCACTGTCTGAAAGAAGGAGCATTGTGCTGCAACTAAAAAAACCCTGCCAAAAGCAGACTCGTACGCTAAAACACGGTATCCATGAGGTAAATATGGCAGGGAGGGTCTGATCAAGCCGACGGACCGGACGAACCTACCTCGGCTGGATGTGAGGCTGCCTGAATTTAAGAGTTTAATCTACCACTGAGGTACTTGGGCTATTTATACCAATTCCGATTCGTCTAGGTAGATGAAAAAAATCAAAGTTCGCAGAAGGGAAAAAAATCACTGTATAAATATAAGGTCGGTAAATGTGATGGTCCGTAATTCGAAGTTGGAGAATTAAGTAAAATTAGCTATCAGCGTCTTCACTGCGTGAAAAGTTGGTGCTGTGTTAAGGAGCTCGGCGGGGTGACCGAGGGTATTTTTCAGTAAGAAATCCGGAGCTTGTTAAAATAAAAGTGCAGGCTGATTGTGCGCCCGGTTTTCTTTGCCATCCGCACGATGCGTGTGAGCCAGCCGCCCTCAGCGCTGTGCGGCCTAGCGTGGCTGCAGGCCGTCCGCTCCGTGCCTATTCAGCGTAGCTGTGCTAGGCTAGGCTAGGCTCCGCTATACTAGGCTAGGCGCTATCCAGCTTCTTCTCTTTTCGCACTGTTTTTGTATCGTTTTTCGACAGTGGGGGGGAAAACGTATATTTTTTTAAATAAACGTTTAAGTGGGCGGAAAAGTTGATGCGATCTTTTTGGAAATTCATTGTGAAAGCAGTACTTTTATAAATTAATGTAATGAAAGAGAATGGGCAGCTAGCTCAGATTATTGGGCGAGAGCTGAGCGCCTGTGCCGTCGCCTGCACTAGTGGTTCCTGTTGTCGCTTTTGGTGACTTTTTACAAGCGTAAACCTGACCGGGGCTTTGGCTCTCTCCTCCATTTAGCTGGCCCGGGATTTTATTTCGTCAAGGGAATCTTTTTAAATTTGTTTTTGTCGGGTTAAAAGTGTTGAATTTACGGCGATGAACTTTTGTTTTCTGACCCATAGAGGGCAGTAGAGGAGCGCAGGGACGCCACGCCGACGAGAATGGAGTTCCCGCAGCAGCAGAAAGCGGCGGAGGGCAAAATAACTTACCCCCCAGGGGTGAAAGAAATCACCGACAAAATCAGCAACGATGAGGTGGTCAAACGGCTCAAGGTCAGTGGGAAGCTACTCTTTTTGCGCCATCACACTTTCTTGAATTTGGATGCACGTACGTGTGCCGTAACGGAGTTATTTTGGGAAGGCCTGATTGAGACTTGCTTCCTAATTTATTCTACAGATGTGTATTTGTAATGTGAGCGTTTCCCGCTGGTTTCAGTATAACAATATTTTTGGCCTTCAAGCCATCATTTTGTGGTACCTTTATCTGTTCATGGTAGGATGTAAGATGCACCTTGGTTTAATATGATTTCTATTTTTATAGCCTGTACTATGTTTAATACTTGGATCTTTCAAGTTTCACTTGTTTTGGATGTATCTAATATTTCCTTGTTTAGTCATATTAGAAGTCGTCCAGCCATCCTTCACCTAAAACTTACCATCTGTGCTGGACTTTGTTCACCTTGCAACAGAGCAGAGGTTATAATCTGTGTTTTAGAGACCCAAAATTATTAATATTTCTCCCCCCCCCAAGAGATGTTCTCGTCATCTCAGGTTTTAAATTGATGCTGTGTTTAGCACCTAGGTAGTAAATATTTTTCACCATTAGATCAAAAAGAATTGAAATAGCTATATGTGCATTTTACTTATGAATGTATTAGTAGTATTTTAATTAACATGGTACTATAGAAACTGCCTTATCCATGATGTGCATCTTAAATTCAAGGGGATTTTCTGCCGTTATTTCGTATGCAAAACTAGTTGGCCATTAGACAAGCACCAGTTGTAACAACGTTCAAGCAAGACAGGTTAGATGTACATTAAAAAGTCTGTATTTTTTATGAAATATGGTTGGGGAAAAGCGGTGGTTTTCAACTGGTGGGTCCCAAGACCATTTTAAGTGGGTTGCAGATTGTGAGATTTTAGAACAATACATACCTCCACCCCACCCCAATGGAAGAAATACTTTAGGTGCTGAGGCAAAACCATTTGAGAATTACTGGTGTAAAGGGTTCTGAGGGCGGTTAAGGGACGTGGCTCTGTCTGCAAGTGCCACCAGCAGATTGGTGAACGCATTGGTCACATAGTGGCCTCTTCTCCCCCCCCAAACAGGGCCTGTTGCTGTCACTTGTTGCCAGGGTGATGATCATTAACGAAAACTTATAAGAAAGAAAATAAGAAAACATTTAAGATGAAATAAGATAACATGAAAAAATAAAAACATAACTAAATGAAAATTGAATTCTGAAATAAAAACAAATGTACAATACTTTCTATTACCATTTTTTTTAATGGTGTTTCACTAATGAAACGATTAGTTTGTGTTTAATGACCATTAATAGTACCTATTACTTGGTGTGCCTGCCTTGAGAACATTAGTATATAATATGCATTGTGTATTCATGTACTATTCTCTAAAGATCAAACGCATAAAAAAGCTCTACATCAGGCAATCCTTAGAAATAAAATCACTGAAACTAAAACGTATAAATACTAAATGGAAATATCTAAAAACGAATAAAACTACTATAAAAATTAAGACTAAACTGGATTTCAAATGAAAATACATAACTAAAAAATCAAAAATATAATAGCACTGGTTGTTAATAATCATGTTAGATTTTTTTTTCCCAGTTTTGTGAGAATAGTGCTCCCATGAATGGTGTCCTGAAATTGCAAAATCAGTCCTAGCCTTGATAGTCGTGTAATAGTTGTGATTGGTGACTACTCAGATTTTTACTAAATATCTAAGCAGTTTAATGTTTCAAATTTGATCATGTACACAAAAATATGCTGTATGTGTGTGTAGTGAAATTCATTATGAGGCTGCTTAAATAGCAAAAAAGAATTCAAGCTGGTAGCTGTATTTTCTATGTTTGTGTAGGACAGTGTATGTGAGGAGGATGTAAAATAAGATGCGTGGAGTTGTGTTAAGTCCATAAAAGTGGTATGTTAGCCATTAGGGCAGGGCTCTTCATACCTGGCCCTCGATTCCAAATCCAGGTCGTGTTTTCAGTTCTCCCAGGTGGTTGGTGTAATAATTACTGATTCTGATTGGCCAGAGGCTTCACACCTGGCTCATGGGTAAAAGAAGGCTGGAAAACCAGCAGGGCTCGGACCTTGAGGACCGGGATTTGAATAGCCCTGCTTTGGGTGTCCTTGTTTAGTATATGGACAGCCGGAATGTAGAATGATTGAAGGTAGCAGCTTCTAAAATTGTAAAAAAAAAAAAATTAAATGGAAGGATTTTTCCCCCCTTGGCATTACATAGAAATGCAAAAAAAAGGGAATGAGAACAAATTTGCACCATACTTCAGACTCAGTAGTGCAGGCTGATGTCTTCATTAGCAGCTGACTGCACCTCCAGTGCACAGCTCTGTGGAGCTTCTGAGCAGCTCATGCTCTCCGCCCATCCCCCCTCCCTGCCCTGTGTGCTCATTGGCTGACACACTTGCTGCTCTGTCACCAGCAGCTTGAGTAGATACAGCATACTGCCTGGGGGCACTTGGCGTGCTCCTGGGTCCTAAAGACATCATTCATTTGAAAGGCATGGGTTCTTGTAGTACGCTGAGCTCCTGTAAAGTGAGATGTGAATGAAATGTCAGGTGTAATTTAGTTAAAAGGATTACAAGCTTGCTGGTTTTGGTGTAATTTGTTCTGGGGCATTTCCAGGGGTGCTTTTGCCGTTTTCTGATTTATTTTTTTTGATTAGTAGGGGTTTAGGGCTGATGTGTAGGCTTGTTATCCAAGCTTCTGACACGGGAGTGTGACTCACTGAAATTGGCTCTGATTCCAAAATGGCCTCGCCGATTGAGATTTCCTGAAAGATAGCACTGGTACGCATAAAGAGGATTCTACTCTTGAAATTGGATATATAAAAACGTACAAATGCAGGGTTGCTAGTAATGTTAGATCTGGGGTCTGCAACCGTTTTCGCCCCAAGGGACCAAATTCCATCAAGACTCTGGATTTAATAGCATTTTGGTCCGGATGTGGAGCGGAGTCGGCCAGTTTGGTGACCACTGCTCTAGAGACTTTCTGAAGTCTTCACAGTGGAGCTCGGCTGTCCCATCTCATCACCTTTCATTCTCACCAAGATGGTGGTGAAGACCTTCATGGACATGGACCAGGACTCTGAGGAAGAGAAGCAGCAGTATCTGGCACTCGCCCTGCACCTGGCATCCGAGTTCTTCCTACGCAACCCCAACAAGGACGTGCGGCTGCTGGTGGCCTGCTGCCTGGCGGACATCTTCCGCATCTACGCCCCTGAAGCGCCCTACACCTCCCATGATAAGCTGAAGGTACACTTGCTCACCTACACACAACGTTCTAACATTCATGTGGAACTGTAATCGACTCCTCGCCCATGGCAACCGGAATGTACTGGCATCCCTAAGTCAAACCCACTGGAATTTCAGCCCATAAAGCTTAGCGGCCCCCCCTTTCCTGACATCTCCGTGGGCTTTCTCCTCTTCTGAATGTAAGCAGCTTGGCTGCCAAACCTCCAGAACTGTACGAACCCTCATTAAAAGCCAGAATTCACTGTTCCACACTTCTGCATTAAGTCTTTCCAGCTGTGTGGTGTCATCCTGTTTTTGTGGAAAAGGGGCTGAGACGTGATCATTCTCCAGTATGGATTCTTGTGATATTCCCCCCCCCCCCCCCCAAAATCTTCTAGACATCGCCGCTCATGAGTTTGATTGACTGATGAGGAAAACCCTCCTCCTCCAGAGGGAGATCACCCGCAAACTGACGTTCCCCAAGCAGCCCGCAAACCCGTTCCTGGAGATGGTGAAGTTCCTGTTAGAGCGAATCGCCCCAGTGCACATAGACTCTGAGGCCATCAGGTGATGGGGCTGTGGGTGGGTCAGGGGCAGAGCCGGGCAGTTTGTTAGGTGACTGTGAATGCATGTCTGAGTCATTCAGGGCCGTAAAACCACACACACCCTGGACGTCCTCCTGTTAATGGGATGCGGGACAAAAAGCTGAAGTAATAGGGGGCTTTTAGCTACAGGTTCTTTACAGCACAGCATGACTATGGATTAACGGGCTTTCAGTGTTATGTAGTAGTAGTTGTTGTGGAGGCTTAGTGAAGAAGAATGGCTTTTACTTTGTTGGGACACCTAGTGTTAGAATGGTGTAACTGCAGTTGTACTATGCTCTATTGAATGTCACCCATGTGTAAATAAGGTATGTTTACAGAAATATGAACATATAGCTTCTGTTTATTAAATGATTGATGTTAGGTTGTTTAATAGGATCGGGTCTGTATTTAACGCGGCCTGGCCTGTGATGTTGACTTGTGTAGCGCCCTGGTGAAGCTGTTGAACAGGTCCATAGAAGGGACCGCAGATGACGACGACGAGGGCGTGACCCCCGACACCGCCATCCGCTCAGGGCTCGAGCTGCTCAAGGTGTGCAGGCGTGCGTCTCTGGGTTCCCACGTCACTGCCGTACCTGTCGGCTTCAGTTCTGTAGTTCAGCGTCGCGCCGCCGGTCCCCACAGGTGCTGTCGTTCACCCACCCCACCTCCTTCCACTCGGCCGAGACGTACGAGTCGCTGCTGCAGTGCCTGAAGATGGAGGACGACAAGGTGGCGGAAGCCGCCATCCAGATCTTCAGGAATACGGGCCAGAAGATCGAGGCGGAGCTGCCGCACATACGATCGTAGGAATCTGCGCTTCTCGAGTTGCATGGGGTTCATAAAGTGGTTGTGCCTGCTCCATCTCAAAGCTCCTCCATCACCACTGTCCTGCAGGACCCTGATCCCCATCCTGCACCACAAGGCCAAGAGGGGCACCCCACACCAGGCCAAGCAAGCTGTCCACTGCATCCACGCCATCTTCCACAACAAGGAGGTGCAGCTGGCACAGATTTTTGAGGTAGATCTCCTTCTGGCTGGGATGCCGTTGTGGTGTTAGCCGTTAGCGACTGGGCCTGTTGGATACTGGCCCACATCTGAGGTCTGAAAGGTCCAAGCGGAAAACAAACGATTTTGTGCTCCAGAAGGCTTCACGCCTCCATTCCCTCGTCGTCCTTAATCTGGTTAATGCTTCCAGTTCAGAAGAAGCTCCTTATTCCTCTCCCTCCCCGCAGCCCTTGTCCCGCAGCTTAAATGCCGACGTTCCTGAGCAACTCATCACCCCACTGGTGTCACTGGGCCATATCTCCATGCTGGCGCCGGACCAGTTCGCCTCGCCCATGAAGTCCATCGTGGCCAACTTTATCGTCAAAGACCTGCTGATGAATGACCGGGTGAGAGACCTTCATTCATCACGGGTGCTGCTTAGTACCTGCATTAGGTGGCAGGTCCTTGTATGTTGTGGGGTTGGAGGACTTGTCGGCACTCTTGGGTTGGTGGGGAACTGATCCCTTCCCCTTGGAGCCTATAAACTAGTCCAGTTTCCCTCTTTACGGTCACTATAGTAGCACTGAAGTGGTTGGGTACTTGTTCACACTAAACCTCTGCTCCTCTTTGTAAATCGGCTATTCTAAGCCAGTCAGCTTGGCTGTCTAGTTGCTAGGTTCATGTTTGGTCATATTGACCAACGGTTGTTCTTCATCTCTGTAGTCGATTGGCAACAAAGTCGGGAAGCTGTGGAGCTCCGATGAGGAGGTGTCCCCAGAGGTCCTGGCCAAGGTAGGACTGGTCATTAGAACCATGCTGTCATCTCTCTTCATTCAGCCTGGGATGGGATGGAATAACCGATATGGTGAAACTGTCTTTCGGTACCGCTCTGCGATTGGCTCTCAGGTCCAAGCCATTAAGCTACTGGTGCGCTGGCTGCTGGGAATGAAGAACAACCAGTCCAAGTCGGCCAACTCCACACTGCGTCTGCTGTCGGCAATGCTGGTCAGTGAGGGCGACCTGACGGAGCAGAAGAAGATCAGGTAGCTGTCTTAGCCCTCAAGTCGGTGGAGAGGCATGTGAGCAGGAGAGCCGGGGAGCATCCTCTGTGCATCCTCTGACCGGCCCAAACTCTCCCCTTCAGCAAATCGGACATGTCTCGGCTGCGGTTGGCGGCTGGCGGTGCCATCATGAAACTGGCACAGGAGCCCTGCTACCATGACATCATTACTCCGGAGCAGTTCCAGCTGTGTGGTTTGGTCATTAACGTAAGTCACCCCATGTGTGACAGTCAGGAACCATTGATCATCTTGTTCCTATGGCTCCTCCGCTGCCTTCCATCAGAGCCGGACGAGTGCCCGCCTTCACCGCCTCTGTGTCCTCTTCTCTACCCACAGGACGAGTGCTACCAGGTGCGGCAGATCTTCGCCCAGAAGCTGCACATGGCCCTAGCTAAGCTTGTCCTGCCCCTGGAGTACATGGCCGTGTTTGCCCTGTGTGCCAAGGATCCGGTGAAGGAGCGCCGTGCCCACGCCCGCCAGTGCCTGCTGAAGAACATCAGTGTGCGCCGCGAGTACATCAAGCAGAACCCCGTAGCCCATGGTGAGCCCATGGAGTCGCTAAGCTTTGAGGAGCTTGATTAATCTGCATATAATGATCATCTTCATCAAATGATCAGGCACGATAAGTTTTTCCCTGACGTTCAGATGTGGAGTTGCTTATTCATTTTGTTGGGTGTTCCCTGCTCTCTCTGCTCGTTTCATCTTCCAGAGAAGTTACCCTCACTTCTGCCAGAGTACGTAGTGCCCTACATGATCCACCTGTTGGTCCACGACCCCGATTTCACCAAGCCCCAGGACTTCGACCAACTCCGTGACCTCAAAGAGTGAGTGGACTCGTGGGGGATCAAGGACCGCCAGCACCTTGGATCGGTTCTGCATCTCTCAACTTGCCTGAAGTGCTGTATCACATGACATTGATTATCAACCCCACCCCCATCTCAGGTGCTTGTGGTTCATGCTGGAGGTGCTGATGACAAAGAACGAGAACAACAGTCACGCCTTCCTCCGGAAGATGGTCGAGAACATCAAGCAGACCAAGGATGCTCAGGCACCTGATGACCCCAAGGCCAATGAGGTGCGTGGTGTCACCATTTCTGCCATCTGCTCTCCTCCTTGGTCGGGGCCCAAATAGGCCGAAGGTGTGACATGCTCTCTTTCCACAACAGAAGCTGTATGTGGTGTGTGACGTCGCACTCTTCGTGATCGTCAACAAGAGCACCTCCTGCCACTTGGACTCGCCCAAAGACCCCGTCTTGCCCACCAAGTTCTTCACTCCCCCTGACAAGGTCTGTCGGGACCCGTCTCTGCTCTCAGCATGCGGGACTCTTGTCACCAACCCGTCGCTTTGCTAATCGTTTTATTTCCACAGGACTTTGTAAATGATAAGGAATTCTTGTCAATGGAGGCCAGAACCATGCTTCTGACAGGGAAGGTGAGATCCCTGCTTATTTCAGGTTCTGTGAGCCACCTGGCGGATGTGTAATCTAAAGACTCTTTGAAGTCGTCTGGCTTTAACACTGTGGCTTTATCTGTGCCCCCCCCCCGCAGCCCAAAGCCTCACCAGTGCTGGCCACGGTGAACAAGCCACTCACAGTGGCAGGGAGGAGACCGTACACCAAGAGCACGGCCTCAGAGAGCAGCGTCAGCCTGAGCGGTCACTCGGAGTCCATCTCCCCAGCCGGGAACAGAACCAGGTAAGGATCAGACCCGTCATGCTCTCACGTTCTTGTGCCGCTGTAGTATCAGGTCCAAATGCCGCTAAAGCTTCTCTCGTTCTACCCAATCAGGGTGGCGGGCGCAGAAGCCACAGGGCCAGGAGCGAGTGAGAACGAGGAGAATCCGTTGTCGAAGGTGAGCGGACGGGCTAAGCACGTCGGTGGGCCGGATCCTCGGGGGGGGATCTCTCTGTGTCATCGTCATGTCTGTGTTGTCCTTTCCCAGGAGAGCAGCTCCGAAACAGGCCAGGCCAGCGTGAAAAAGCGGGGGGCGGGGGGGACACAGTCCCCCCACCCGGAGAACAACGTGGGACCCGATGGCGCCACGGCGCCCGTGACCCCTACCCCAGTCCCTACTAAACCCAGACGAGGACGGCCGCCCAAGTCCCTCAGTGCGGGTGGGGCCACGAGTGCGGGTGGGGCTGGGAGAGGCAGGAAAAGAGCAGCGCCCACCCCCGACAATACAGGCAGTCCCACAGTAGAGCCAATCACCATCAAGATACCAAAACAGCAAGAGGCAGACGGCAAGAGGGCCATGACACAACGGCAGATGGACCTACAGAGGTGAGCCTTTGGCTGGGCCCAACCCTGTGGATGGTTCATAAGCTGCCACCTGCTGATCTGGCTGCTGCCATGACTGTGAAGTATCAGTTAAAACGATGGGTATTGAAGGTTCTTCTGACAATCTCCATTCTCTCTTGTGTTCAGGTAAAAGAAAATGGCAACACAAACCAAGATGCCAGGAGCTGCACGGGTCGGGACGTTTATGGGGGCAACAGTGCTGTACAGACCCTGCAGATCCCACGGACTCAAGCTCTTTGGACACTGGCTGTACTGGACTTCGTCACACCCGAGTACTGCTGCTCACGTACAGTTGAGAAGCAGATCTCCTCAGGAGAGAATCTCCAAGGAATGAGCAGAGCCGTGCAGGCCCCCCTCCCCCTCCCCCCCCACCCCGCAGGCCTGAACAGCCACCCGACTTGCTGTCCACCTCACCCCCACTACTCTGATCATCAGATTTCCTATCCACACGTACATCTTCGATCCAGCCAATGGCGCTCAACGTTCTGCTTATCCCTCGTTCTGATTTGCTGTTTCCCATGAGGCATTCTCATTGGATGACATTGGAAGCCAAATACTAGTCCCCAAGTACCTCCATAAAAGTTGGGGAGAACTTAGCATAGGCACTGATGTGTAGAGGTCGCTTGTGCGACATGTGCGTTGCCGATAGTCGCTTAACCGCTTAACCTCCTGCTGCATACAACCAGCGAGTGGCACTGGATTTTCTTTTTTAAGGGGAAACATTTCCAGAGGATGGTGACACACCTAAGGTTTTTCTTCTTGAAAGCCCTGTGACCTTCAGCGGGGCTAACCCTAATCCCAAGCCATCCCAACTATTTGGTTATTTTCCCTCCTCCTCCTCTTTCTGCTTCCATCGCTTTTAAAGGCTGCCATCCCCATTGGCTCTGCATGAACGGTTATTCACCTGCATTTAAACCAAGTGGGGATACAAGCTTTACGACGTGTTCCACCTCCCTCCCTCCTAGAGGCCTTTTTAAATTAGATTTTACAGTTTTATATTGTGACAGAAGTGTATAAAACGAAACGAACGATGCAGCCTTTTCTGCCTTCGTTGGACTGGTGATGATCACCACGGTCGACTTATGTGTAAGAAAAGGTTTTGAAGTATTATATACATTATATATATAAATATAAAAATTTGATGCCTACATCAAGGTTGAACTTGCTGTTAGACATGGAAATATTTGAGAATATTTTAAAATTTTCAGCTTTTTTATTTTAGTGATATTCATGTTGGCATTATTCCAGTTTTTTTTCTCCCCCCCCCCCAAGTTGATGTGTACGGATGTTGAACGCCTCACATTTCCCCCCCCACCCTACCCACTAAATAATCATTGTTGGCAGTCTGGTTGGTTGAACACCATTTCAAAAACTCACAATTCAGCACACCAGGTGAATTGTAATGGCCACTTTACTGGTTCAGATGGTGGGCATTTTAAGACTCGAACCGTACCACCTTGCGCTGTCTTGATTTTGCTTTTGACTGAATGCAGTTCACTAAATCAGCTGTATACTATGGGAATCAGCGGCGAGCCAAAGTTTCCAAGTTCTCCCTCATCAGAAGCAGCAACGGAGGGGTCTGCGCCCATTTCTAAAAGGACGGTCTACTTGTTCATATCGAAGGCCCTCAGAGAGCGACTCGGAACCCAGAACGAGAGCTGTGTTCATGCTGAAACAAATGTGAATAAATGTTACCTTTTGCCATATCACATTGTCAAGATGACAGAATAAATGCCTTTCCATTCTTTTTAAACGCGGGAGCGGCTGAGGCCTGTATGGGTTTCTGTTCATCTTTATCACACATTGCTGTCTGGGCCATGAGTCCATTCATCTGTGGTCACACATTGAAAGAGACACAGTTTTTTTTTTTTTTTTTTTAATCAAAGAAATGCCAGTTTTGACAATAAATAATCATGCTGTAGGGCTTTGTGTTTAATTTAAGAGAAAGGTGGAGTGGCAAAATCCAATGTGAAGAATTGGTGATGACCCCTTGTTTCACCGTGCAACGCACGACGTAGTAGAACAGCAGGAAGACACTGCCTTTTCTTGTACCGAAAGGAGTTAAGCCGTCACAGGTATATTCGAAGGACATGGCTGTAGGTACGAGTGGAGAGTCTGTGTGATCCTTCATCTGCGGCAATCACACGGGGGCGAGGAAGCCCAAGACCAGCCATGACGGCAACGTGAGACACCAGGTCTCATTAACGATAACCCCAAACGGGAGAGTGCAGTGGCTTTTTGTCCATACATAAAACCCGGAGTAAGCTTACCCATAATTTAACAGCCAGACGTCCCCTTACATTTAGTAACGTTTGAACAAGAAAACCATGGCCGGTATCTTCAAGTCTATTTTGTTTGGGTCTGATGTCCAAACCCAAAGATAGTGTGAAAACTGATTGTGTAAAAACCAGATGGGTGAATGTCAAGTAACTGACTAATGGAACACTTGTAAAAATGAGAAAGTTCGGAAGGACTTCATATTGAAACATATGCAGGTGTTTTCTTAGTGATGCTAACATTTAATTTCGTACTCGGCATTTTTGGGGGAAAAAAAAGATGTCTAAGTTCGGCTCGTCACAAAGGTGGCACACCCTTCAGGTCACCAAAACTCCTACCCTATCGCTTTCACTATGCCTTGCGGTGATGCCAGGTTTCCACAAGCCTGACAGAAAAGTGTTCCTCTGCGATTTGGCAACAGACGACGCTTTAGAGAAGGTCATTGTCCCTGGTCCTGACCGAGCCGGAATGACGTGGCGTGTGAGGATGGCCGGTCCGGACGCGTGGATGCTAAGTGTGTGAGGTGAAGCGATGCGACACTGAGGGGGGAAAAAAACATAAGGTTAGCTCAGGATTAAGCATTAGGGTGAAGCAATGGCTGGGATACATAGGGAGGCTGAGAGATCTGGGGGGGCGATGCCTCTAGAGGCTGCCGTCACTTTTTATTTTGTTCTTTGTGAATTTAGAGAAGGGATTTGGCCGCCAAGTGACCGCATCCTGTCGGCGAGTGGAATCGCTGTGGGGCATGGCGGCATACGGGGGGAACTGACAGCACATTTTATTAGGTCACCGCGATCCTGACGACCAGCAGCTCGCGAAACAGAGAGACTTTGTATCCTTCTCAGAGGGGACAGAGTCCCAAAAAAAAAAACTGCTCTTAAATACAGCGGCTTTTTTTTTTTTTTAATCCTCCCGACCCAAATGTGGAAGGTCAAAATGAGGGCATGTGGTGTTTCTGTCTTAATTATGGATTAAAAAGTGCAAACTGCCAACAAAGGGGAGGGGTATCAATTCCATCCATCCTCAAGCTGTTTTGTGCACAAAAGCGAGCAAACGCGACAGGCTTTTTGGGTGGGGAGAGTGCAGGGGCGACAGCTGGAGATACAGGGGGGGGGCAAGAAGGGTGAAACCAGAGGGGGGGAAAAAAAAAATTGTATAATTCCCCCGGTACGGCTGGATCTGTCACCTGCCACACAAGTCTGGCCTTGTGTTGAGGGAATGTGGGGACAGTCTCTCTGACTTCAGCTCTCAAATGACGACATGTTCTCTGGGCTGCTCACTATGGACGCCACGGCAAACAGAGGATGCTTCGCAAGTAACGGGGCTTGTATCGTCGTTAAAAATAAATGTATAGAGTGGGTCCTTTTCCATTTGCAAGGATGGCTCAAATTTCAAGCAATGTTTTTTTTATATAATTTTAAGGACGAAAAAAAGAGGTTTCCCCATGTTTTTTTTTTTTTTTTTTTTTTTTAATTTATCCAGACCTTTAATAACGTTATTTACAGATGAATTTAGTTGTTGTCATTGTTGGCTTTTCATTTTATTTTTTTATTTTTTCCCCTCACCAGTCTTTCGGCTGAGTGTCCGTATCCTGCGAGCGCCGTGCCACTTGTTCGGTTTCCTTAAAAGAGGAATTCGAGAGGTATTCGGAAAATGTAAAATTATCCAAATAAGGAGTGACGGAGGACGGACACTTGGGGGTATGGAGCGAACAGAGACCCGAGGCGTGACGTATGAGTGAGAGCAAGAGCAAATGCGGGGGCGAGAGGGGGGTGCGGGGGGGGGGGGGGGGGGG